CCCCCCCAAAAAAAGATCGTGATGAACATGATTCCAGCCGTTATAGTCATCTGAAATAAAAAAACCAAAAAGATTCTTAATTTGTATGAGTGTGGCTATCGTGTGAACTAGAATTGAATCAATATTCGCAAAATTCGAATTTTGTGATTTACAAAACTAACCAATTTTTTGGTGAAAAATGAAATTTCTTTTTTGAAACGCTACCATTTTTTTACTTTTCAATATTTTTTTTTATTCTGGTTCACAAGTGTAGTCACATAGTATATTCTGAATATATATGTTATTTAATAAACGCAAAGTTTAGAATTATTATGTTTTATACTTTCCTTTAAAAAAAATTCCCCAAAATCGCCTTATTTTCAGAGTATTAAACTAGAAAGACCCCTTAATACTAATATATCTCTGTTTTTTCTTGAGATAAAAAAAATTTCAAAATTAAACATACAAGCTCCACTTCTTCTTCCGCATCAAAAGGTTTGTGCTTTCCACCTGGTAAAATAAATTTTTGCCCAGGTAAACGCAGATCGTCCAGCACCTTCATTAGATAAGGAGTTTGTGCTAGACACTGAAGCACAGCATTGAAGAAGCAGGTGTTTCCTAGATTTGCTAAACCCTATTGCATTATTTAAGAAAATTTTTCCATTATAGATATTTTAACTATTATTGTATATTCTCTCCTTCTTTCTCTTTTTCCCTTTTTTGTTATTTATATGTATACATAAATAAAGAAATTTTCAAATAAATTCAAAAAGTATATTTACCTAAAGACCTCAAGAGGTGCCACGATGGAAGTCATTAAGTCGCTAGAAATGTATTTGCATTCAACAAGAACAAAGCTTGCAATCCATACAAAACGTAGTATAAAATCTTCGATTATTGCAAAGTAATAAAACCACTGAAATACATATAAAATATATAAAATATAAAATATATAAATAACAAATTATATATAAAATTAATACTTTTTTCATTGCCAAATACGTTACAATACGTTGTAAGTCAAATACGTTTAATATACATTTTACTTACAGATGCCGAATAAACCACTTCCTCACGCAGAAAACGATTTTCGCCGGCGTTACTGTCTAAAAGGCCCCAATCCATCTTGAGATCCCATGTGTATGAATATATCGAATTAATAAGGCAACTACATATCCATAACCATAACCATGGATTCTCCCATTGACTTTTATATTCCACTGAAAGTATGCACACATCGTTTCTATATTAATTTTACAAACAATTAAGAACTTTAAAATTTAAAGAAAATTTAAATAAAAATTTTGATAAAATTATAAACATACAATCATTTTGTATCAGGTGATTGCATAAGTTCGTGCCCGATTTAAATATAAACTTCAATAGATTATATTTTAGAGATAACACTTTTATTAATCAATTATATAGTCTCCATTCTTTTCTACAATGGTTTTCCAACGATCTATAAGCTTGTCGATTCCATTTTTGAAGAAAGAACTTGGTTTTTCTTGAAAAAAGTTTGTAAGGTGGTTTTCGACAGCTTCCTCGGAATTGAGATTCTTGCCATTTAAACTATTCTGCAAAGACCGGAACAGATAAAAATCTGAAGGCGCAATATCTGGAGAATATGGCAGGTGCTGTAGAATTTCCCCTTGCAACTCCTGCAGTTTTCGCAGCGTCTGTTGAGCGACGTGTGGCCTAGCATTGTCGTGGTGGAAGATGACGCCTTTTCGATTGGCCAAAATCGGACGTTTTTCTCGAATAGCTGCAGCGAGTCTAGTTAGTTGCTCACAGTACTTGTCCGCCGTGATTGTTTCGCCGCGTCGGAGCAGCTCAAAGTAAATAATTCCCTTGCGATCCCACCAAACACACAGCAACACCTTCATCGGATGCAAGCCAGCCTTTGCTACGGGTTCTGCTCCTTCAGCTGCTGTTTTCCATGTCCTCTTTTGCTGTACGTTTTTGTAGAGAATCCACTTTTCATCGCCTGTTACCATTCGATCTAAAAAAGGCTCTTTTTTGTTACGCTCGAGAAGAGAAAGAGCCACAGTCATACGGTTTAGCTTATTCCTTTCAGTCAGGAGATGCGGCACCCATGTATCAAGCTTGGAAACGTATCCAAGCTTTTTTAAATGACGAAAAGCGGTTTAATTATCGATGTTCAGCCTCTTAGCAATATCTTCAGTTGTAATCCTTGGGTTTCTTTCCACTAAGGCATGCACAATGTCATTATCAATGCCAGAAGGCCGTCCAGAGCGGGTTTGATCCTCCATGTTGAAATCACCATTTCGAAATCTGCCAAACCACTTTTTGACTGTTCGGAGAGCAGGAGCGCGGTCCAAATAAACGGTTTGAATATTTTTTTGTGCAATCCCAACACTCACGCCTTTCCGAAATTTATATAACATTACATGCCGCAAATGCACCTTTTCGTTCTCTATTTTTAATGATTTCTCTTATGCACCAATGGACTTATCTGAACAATGTCTGATGCTAAATTGACATAAGACAACGTCATCTATTCGGTGTAAGCAACAATTACCACACGAAAACAATAGAACTCCGCCATGCAGTAACTTAATGCCATCTATGAAAATCGGGCACGAACTTATGCAATCATCCAATAAAATCAGAGATCATGTTGGTAGGTGAAGACTATAATTCCGATCCATCGGGGTTCAATTTAGAAACGCATGCACCTCGCACGCTTGCTTTAAAAGGATCATTGAAAGTCGAGTGTTTAGCGCAATCTTTGAGTTCTTTGACGCACAGCTACACTATTCAGCCAATCGTTTCTGCCAACGGAGATTTAAAGTCCCCTTTATTAATAGTCCTGCAAGAGACTAGTGGTAAATTTGGACCAATCGTTGAGAAAACTTTGTACAAAGCAGACAATATTGTCGTATTTGCATCAAAATCAGGCAAATTAACATCCGACCTTGCCATTAATTGGTTCGCAAACGTTTTTTCCGAAGAATTCAGTTTGTCCAAGTGACGGTGACGGTGGTGCTATTTCAGTTTAAAGTTTTAATTGTCTCTTCTCCGCGGTCTGCTCAACTCGAAACAGTAATTCGAGATAAAATAAAGCGCTCGTCCGACTCGCGGTGTTTTTATCTCGGATTTTTAAATGCTTCATCCCCGTTGATGTATTAAAAGTGTTAACGGAAACTTTTGCTTTCTCAGCATGGAGTACGATTCCGAGTATTTCCATAGATTTCTTAAAGAACTTTTCTTCCATTTTTAGAGAAATTTTTCTCTAAGTTCCCGGATAGTTATGCAGGATGTCTTGCAATAAGATAAAAATTTTTATATCAAGAAAAATATCGAGCAAGATTTATATACTTTTATATCAGGTGATTGCATAAGTTCGTGCCCGATTTAAATATAAACTTCAATAGATTATATTTTAGAGATAACACTTTTATTAATCAATTATATAGTCTCCATTCTTTTCTACAATGGTTTTCCAACGATCTATAAGCTTGTCGATTCCATTTTTGAAGAAAGAACTTGTTTTTTCTTGAAAAAAGTTTGTAAGGTGGTTTTCGACAGCTTCCTCGGAATTGAGATTCTTGCCATTTAAACTATTCTGCAAAGACCGGAACAGATAAAAATCTGAAGGCGCAATATCTGGAGAATATCGGTTGCTGCGGGTGCTGCAGAATTTCCCCTTGCAACTCCTGCAGTTTTCGCAGCGTCTGTTGAGCGACGTGTGGCCTAGCATTGTCGTGGTGGAAGATGACGCCTTTTCGATTGGCCAAAATCGGACGTTTTTCTCGAATAGCTGCAGCGAGTCTAGTTAGTTGCTCACAGTACTTGTCCGCCGTGATTGTTTCGCCGCGTCGGAGCAGCTCAAAGTAAATAATTCCCTTGCGATCCCACCAAACACACAGCAACACCTTCATCGGATGCAAGCCAGCCTTTGCTACGGGTTCTGCTCCTTCAGCTGCTGTTTTCCATGTCCTCTTTTGCTGTACGTTTTTGTAGAGAATCCACTTTTCATCGCCTGTTACCATTCGATCTAAAACAGGCTCTTTTTTGTTACGCTCGAGAAGAGAAAGAGCCACAGTCATACGGTTTAGCTTATTCCTTTCAGTCAGGAGATGCGGCACCCATGTATCAAGCTTGGAAACGTATCCAAGCTTTTTTAAATGACGAAAAGCGGTTTGATTATCGATGTTCAGCCTCTTAGCAATATCCTCAGTTGTAATCCTTGGGTTTCTTTTCACTAAGGCATGCACAATGTCATCATCAATGCCAGAAGGCCGTCCAGAGCGGGGTTGATCCTCCATGTTGAAATTACCATTTCGAAATCTGCCAAACCACTTTTTGACTGTTCGGAGAGCAGGAGCGCGGTCCAAATAAACTGTTTGAATATTTTTTTGTGCAATCCCAACACTCACGCCTTTCCGAAATTCATATAACATTACATGCCGCAAATTCACCTTTTCGTTCTCCATTTTTAATGATTTCTCTTATGCACAAAACTTCTTATCTGAACAATGTCTGACGCTAAATTGACATAAGACAATGTCATCTATTCGGTGTAAGCAACAATTACCACACGAAAATAGAACTCCCATCAAGCGAATTTGTTTCTAAAGTAAAATCAGAGATCATGTTGGTAGGTGAAGACAATGTCTATAATTCCGATCAATCGGGGTTCAATTTAGAAACGCATGCAGGTCGCACGCTTGCTTTAAAAGGATCATTGAAAGTCGAGTGTTTAGCGCAATCTTTGAATTCTTTGACGCACAGCTACACTATTCAGCCAATCGTTTCTGGATTTAAAGATTTAAAGTCCTCTTTATTAATAGTCCTGCAAGAAACTAGTGGTAAATTTGGACCAATCGTTGAGAAAACTTTGTACAAAGCAGACAATATTGTCGTATTTGCATCAAAATCAGGCAAATTAACATCCGACCTTGCCATTAATTGGTTCGCAAACGTTTTTTTACCAAACACCGGGGAAAACTCTGTTTTTTTGTTAGATTCTTGGACTGGCCAGACTGAAAAAAAGTTTGACAATATTGATAAAGACAATAAAAACGTCCAAATTTTTACGATTCCCGCTGGAACCACTGGTTTAATTCAACCGCTGGACGTTTACACTTTTAGACCTTGGAAGAATTTTTTAAGACAATTTTCTGATATTGTCATGCTATATAACTGTGATGTAAATTTACATTTAAGGAATAACATCCTCAAAATACAGTCTTTAATACATAACCAGTTTTCCTCGCCCAGATTTAAGAATATATTTCGATACGCTTGGTGGAAGTGTGGGTATATTGCAGAAAAACCCGACAAATGCGAAGCCCCTGCAGATTTCTGTTTGAAAAACTGCAATGGCACATGTGAACTCTGCAATGATATTGCAATAATTAAATGTGCTTGGTGTATGACATCAATGTGCATGCAGCACTTCTTTGCCGTAACAAACGCTAACTCTCCACATTACTGCACTAAATTTAAAGTGTAAGTCGAAAAGCACCCCGATTCGTGAGAGGCAAGGGGACTCACGTTCAAAAAGCACCCCAATGGGATGAGAACCCTATCACGTCCACGTCGTTCATCCTGGGTAGCGCTAAGGACTGATTGATTTTTATATGCATCACTACTTGTAGGGATGGT